GCCCTCACTTTAATAGTAGACACCTGGCAAGGCTGTGCATGCATCTTTCATTGTAGGTCAGTCACTCACATGATAAGAGCTTGTGTCTGTTTTTGCACAATTTCAGCTCTTTCTCTATAGGAGATAAGACCCTAACTCAGAACAGTCTTAGCATATTTGAGGCTCAGTATCTGCTTCTGAAGCTGGGAGATACAATCCCCGAGTTCATCATTTTCTTTCATCACTGTCTACTGAACTTAGGAGCAACCAACCAACTTCACTATGTTCCTTGGTTCTCCACAGTGGTCACTAAACTCCTTGCGTCTCAACGAACCATGAATCAAGAGTGTCAAATGCATTTATTTTGCATAACTCTCTGAACAGTTCATGCCAAGGACTATCAGTGTTCTCCATACTATTAGAAGTAGAGTCCTTAGCATTTTTGGGTCTAATCATACTAAGCAGCCAACTCCAGAAGCCCCAAAACCAATGAAAGAACTCTATCCTTAATACCAAAATCTGTATTAGTTAGGGTACTCTAGAGGGACAGAACTAATATGATATATACATATATATATTTATTTATATGTATAAAGGGGAGTTTATTAAGTATTAACTTACATGATCCCAAGGTCCCACAATAGGCTGCCTGCAAGCTGAGGAGCAAGGAGAGCCAGTCCGAGTCCCAAAACTGAAGAACTTCAGTTCGATGTTGGAAAGCAGGAAGCATCCAGCATGGGAGAAAGATGTAGGCTGGGAGGCTAGGCCAATCTCTCCTTTTCACGTTTTTCTGCCTGCTTTATATTCACTGGCAGCTGATTAGTGCCCACCAGATTAAGGGTGGATCTGCCTTCCCCAGTCCACTGACTGAAATGCAAATCTCTTTTGGCAACACCCTCACAGACACACCCAGAATCAATACTTTGCATCCTTCAATCCAGTCAAGTTGATGCTCAGTATTAACCATCACATATGCATAAAAAATATAAAAGAGTATTTTACAAAATTATCATACTATACTATTGATGAAATACAAAGCAGGGAAAGCAACAAAAGTCAGTGTTCAGAGTCAAATGTGCTGACCCAAGGCAGTGTGAATTTCCTAGGGCTGCCAGGAGTTAACAAATTACCACAAACCAGGAGCTTTAAAACAATGGAAATATTCTGTCACAGTCGTGGAGGCTAGAAGTCCAAAATCAAGGTGCCAGCAGGGTTGGTTCCTTTGGAGACACTGAGACACAATCTGTTTCATGCCTTTCTCCTGGCTTATGGTGGTTCCTGGTAACTCTTGGCATTCCTTGGGTTGTAGATGCATCAACCAAATCTCTGCCTCCATCTTCACATCACCTCCTTTTCTGTGTGTCTTTTTTCCCATCCCATATAAGGATACCCATCATTGAATTTAGGGCCCACCCTCATCCAGGATTATCTTATCTTGAGATTCTTAATTACATCTGCAGAGACCTATTTCCAGATAAGGTTACAGTCACAGGTATTTGGGGCTAGGACCTGGACATCTCTTTTGGGGGGTACTATTCAACAACTTCAGTCCACTCTATGATACCCAAATTTCATGCCCATTTCACTTGCAAAATACATTCACCTAACCAACATTCCCAAAAACCTCAGTCCATGACTGCATCCTAAGTTTAAAATGTCATTGAAATATCAGCTCAGAAGTCCCGTCCCAAATCTCATCATCTAAATCATCTCCATCTGGTATGCATGAAACTCTAGGTATGATACATTTTGGGGCAAAATCTCTCCATTTGTAAAACTAGAAAACAAATTAATTGGCCAGGTGCAGTGGATCACGCCTGTAGTCCCAGCACTTTGGAAGGTCAAGGCAGGAGGATCACTTGAGCCCAGGAGTTTGAGACCAGTCTGGACAACATAGTGAGACCTTGCCTCTGCAAAAAAAAATTAAAAATTAGCCGGATGGGTTGGGTGCAGTGGCTCACACCTGTAATCCCAACACTTTGGGAGGCCGAGGCGGGTGGATCATCTGAGGTCAAGAGTTAGAGACCAGCCTGGCCAACATGGTGAAACCATGTCTCTACTAAAAATACAAAAATTAGCTGGGCATGGTGGCACATGTCTGTAATCTCAGCTACTCAGGAGTCTGAGGCAAGACAATCGCTTGAACCTGGGAGGCGGAGGTTGCAGTGAGCTGAGATCATGCCACTGTGTTCCAGCCTGGGTGACAGAGTGAGATTCCATGTGGTGGTGCATGCCTATAGTCCTAGCCTGCTCCAGGAGGCTTAGGCTGGAAGATTGTCTGAGCCCTGGAGGTTGAGGCTGCAGTGAGCTGTGGTCATGCCACTGCACTTTAGCCTGGACAACAGAACAAGACAAAACAAACAAACAAACAAACAAACAAAAAACAAAGAAAGAAAGAAAGAAAGAAAGAAAGAAAGAAAGAAAGAAAGAAAGAAAGAAAGAATAAATTAATCTGCTTTCAAAATACAGTGCTGGAGGAGAGGCATAAGTAAGTCATTCCTGGCCAGGTGTGGTGGCTTACGCCTATAATCCCAGCACTTTGGGAGGCTGAGGCAGGAGGATCACTTGAGCCCAGAAGTTTGAGACCAGCCTGGGCAACATAGTGAGACCCTATCTCTATTTTAAAAATAAATTTTAAAAAATAAAAATTTTATTTTTGTTGCTGTCCCAACAAGGAGAAATTGGAAGGAACAAAGGAGTCACCATTCCAAGCAAGTCTGAAATCCAGCAGGGAAAATTCTATTAGTTTTCAAGGCCTGAGAATAATCATCTGTGACTCACTTCCCTGCCCTCTGGGTCCACAGAGGCTCCATCAGCCCCTGCCTCTAGGCCTGCTTCTTTGAACCCTGCTTCTTTGGACCCTGCCTGCATCAGGCTTTGTTCTGAGTCATTCTTGCTTTTCCTTGAAGTTTAGCATGTGTGTGTAGCTAACTACCTCTATTAGCCTATTTCCTGCCTGTAGAATCCCAGAAGTCTCACAGCTATTTTCATTTCATCTTATCTCTGTTCCTTTCTGTACAAGCTAGCAGTGTTTCTGCATATATAACAGTCTCAAAAACTTTGTAGGCCCCCTTTGTATTTCAAGGGTATCCATTCTAGATAACTCCATCTCTATTTCTGGCTTCTTCTGGAATGGTCGACTGGGTTCATGAGACATCCCTAATCTCTTTAGCAAAATGTTGTCCAGCCACATCCTTGACCCTCTCTCTAGGGCACACTCTTCCTACGATGAGTTTCCTAACTTCAGCATCCTTTGTGAACTCGGTAGGCTGAGAACCTCCCAAATAAAAAAGTGCTGGTTTCTCTTGGCTTAACAGTTATTTTCTCAATTTATCTTCTCTATAATTTTCCTATAAGTACAAAGAGAAACCAAGCCACACCTTCAACACTTTGTTTGGAAATCTCCTCAGCTAAATATCTAGGTTCGTTACAGCCTTCAAGTTCTGTTTCCACTCAGCAGTAGAAAACAATACATTCACATTTCTGCCACTTTATAATAAAGATGGCTTTTCTTCCGTTTCTAATAACACGTTTCTTATTTCCTTCTGAGACCTTACCAGAAGCATCTTTAACATTCATATTTCTACCAGCATTCCAGTCATGATATATATACGATGGGCCCTCCATATCTCTGGGTTCCACATCTGTGGATTCAGCCACCACAGATAAAAAATATTCAGGGGAGAAAAATAATAAAAAACAATAAAACAGTAAAAATAAAGTAATAAAAAGCAATACAGGCCCGGCGTGGTGGCTCACGCCAATAATCCCAGCACTTGGGGACAAGAGGATTGCTTGAAGCTAAGGGTTTGAAAACAGCTTGGGCAACAAAGCAAGACCTCATCTCTACAAATAATAATTTAAAAATTAGTCAGGTGCAGTGGCATGTGTCTGTAGTCCCAGCTACTTGGAAGGCTGATGCAGGAAGATTGCTTGAACCCAGGAGTTCGAGGCTGTGGTGAGCTATGATTGCACCACTGCACTCCAGCCTGGGTGACAGAGCAAGACCCCATTTCAGGAAAAAAAAAGAAAGAAAGAAAGAAAAAGTAAAAAAACCAACAATACAGGATAACAACTAGTTACGTAGCAATTTACATTGTATTAGGTATTGTAAGTAATCTAAAGGTGATTTAAAGTATACTGGAGGATATGTGTAGGTTATGTGCACATCTATGCCATTTTATAGCAGAGATTTGAGCATTCATGACTTTTGCTATCCATCAGGATCCTCGGACCAGTCCTCTGGGATACCGAGGCATAACTGTATTCTCTAGGGCAATAGAAACTTTCTTTTCTATGCTGTTTACTTCCTCTGAGCCCTCACCAGAATCACCCTTAAAGTTCATATTTCTGCCAGTCATCTCTTCAAGGAAATCCACTAGACTTTTTCTATTATATACCTTGAAATTCTCCCAACCTTTACCCGTTGGCCAATTACAAAATCTCTACCACATTTTTAGCTATGTGTTATAGCAGCACCCCTTTCCCAGTACCAAAATCTGTGTTAGTTTCCTTGGACTGCTGTGAAAAATCACCACACACAGGTTGATCTAAAACAGTAGAAGCGTATGCTCTTATGGATGTGGAGGCCACAAGCCCAAAATCCAGGTGGTGGCAGCGTTGGCTCCTTTTGGAGGCCGTGAGGGAGAACCTGTCCTAGGCTTCTCTCCTAACTTCTGGGTATTGCTGGCAATCCTTGGCATTCCTTTCTGAGTAAATGAACCACTCTGATCTCTGCCTCCCTCTTCATGTCACCTCTACTCTGCAGGTCATCTTCTTTTCTGTCTCTTATGAGGACACACCATTGGATTTAGGGCCCACTCTAATTCAGGATGATCTCATATTTCTAAATAAGGTTATACTCTCAGGTACCTGGGGTCAGTTCTTGGACATATCTTTTGGGGACCACTCTTCAGCCCACTACAGGCAAACTTCCCGTAGAAGGTAAATGTTAAGGGTTCAGGATGGAAAAGCTGGGTGGGGGATAAGGCACTTGTCAGAGCCCTGTTTTCCCATGGCAGCAGGAACGCCCCAAGAGTGCTGTGTTCCCTGGTGAGGGGAAGGTCAAGATGAGTGTGGAGGAGCAGATTGACCGAATGCGGCGGCACCAGAGTGGCTCCATGAAGGAGAAGCGGAGAAGCCTGCAGCTGCCGGCCAGCCCGGCCCCCGACCCCAGTCCCCGGCCAGCCTACAAAGTGGTAATGCCTTCCCAGCTACCCACAGGCATGAGCCTGGCATCTGCCAACACTTCCTACTCCCAGGGCATGGCCAGCTGGGGCCTGGGGGGTTTGAGAGGAAGGAGAGGGGAAATAACCCAAGCTGGGCACCTGGGAGAGCCAGAGAGTCCTCTCTCCCACCGGCGGAAGAGTCTTTCAAGTGTTGACTTTTTCTTGTTTTAAGAAAATAACTCACAAAAAGGAATGCCTTAATTATTTTTGTTGAAATGAATTATACAAAATTCACTTAATAGAGAATAGTACAGAATTCACCACACAGAAAGAGCTGTCACTTACGCATGTTTCTAGAGCATCACCTCTGTGCCTAGCATTGGGCTGGCTGCAATGAAGATAATCATAATAGCTCACCGTCACATGGCACAATATAATCCACAAATCCCTTTCATGTTACTTCATTTAATCCTTTTAGCAACATTGGGTTAGGAATTATTATCCTATTTTGCAGATGGGGAAACAAAGTGAGGAGAAATTAAAGGATTCCTGGGCTACACAGCTCTATTAAGTACAGAGCTGGATGTAGCCCAAGACATAACTTAACTTTTGTTTCCATTAAATTTTAGAAATATGGAAAAATTATGACTCATAAGTCCTGTCCTCAACAGCTTACATTCTAGTTGATGGATTAGGACTTCTATAGTATGAAATCGTTAGAAGTGAGCTGGGTGTGGTTGGCTCCTCATGCAAGTAATCCTAGCACTTTGGGAGACCAAGGTGGAAAGATCGTTTGAGGCCAGGAGTCTGAGACCAGCCTGACAACAAAGCAAGACCCTGTCTCTATAAAAACATGTTTAACAAGTAGCTGGGCATGGTGGATGCACCTATAGTCCCAGCTACTTGGGAGGAGGCTGGGATGGGAGGACTCAAGGCCAGGAGTTTGAGATTGCAGCGAGCTATGATTCTGTGGCTGTACTCCAGCTGGAGCGACAGCAAGACCCTGTTTCTTAAAAAATCAAAAGAAGAAATCAATACAAGTCACACTAACTCAACTGCCCAAATTATATAGCGAAGAATGTGAATACAGGGTACAGCAGGATGGGGAACAGCAAGAACTGACAAGAGATATTGATGAGATGTTGCCTCTGGGGCCTGGCAGGTGGGCAGGCTTTGGGTCAGTAGAAAGGAAAGAGGATACTTCTGCAGTAGGGTGCGGTGGGAGCAGTGGGGTGGCAGCTAGATCAGGCAAGCTGGGAAGGGAAAGCGAGGACAGGGCATGGCTAGGGCTGCCTGGAGGCATGGGTAGCCGTGGTGCGATCGTGACGCTGCTGTCCCCTAGGTGCGCCGCCACCGCAGCATCCACGAGGTGGACATCTCCAACCTGGAGGCAGCCCTGCGGGCAGAGGAGCCTGGCGGGCAGGCCTACGAGACACCCCGGGAGGAAATTGCCCGGCTTCGCAAAATGGAGCTAGAGCCCCAGCATTATGATGTAGACATCAATAAGGAGGTGAGTGGAGCCAGGAAGGGCTGTAGTGGGAGACTCTGGGAAGGGACAGAGGTGGTGACCCCAGCCCCTCCATAGCTCTCCACTCCAGACAAAGTCCTCATCCCCGAACGGTACATTGACCTGGAGCCTGACACTCCTCTGAGCCCTGAGGAGTTGAAGGAGAAGCAGAAGAAGGTGGAGAGGATCAAGACACTCATTGCCAAATCCAGGTAACCGGCCTGGGTGAGCCTCTACTTCCTCTGCCCACCCTGGCACCTAGGACACCTGGGCCACTAGAAGTCGTTGGGGGCACAGAGCCTCCCCAGGGGAGAGCACATCAAGGTGGTGGCTCCAGGCAGCAGACAGGGCCCAGCTACCGGCAGAGGCAAGGATGCTGCTGTCAGGTGCTAGTAAGACCCGCCAGGCTCGTGCACATCACACCATCAAGACAAAACTGAAGGCTCGCCCTCTGGTGACTTCTTTTCCCCTTCAAGGCTGCCCTAAATGCTCACTTGAACCTTTTAATTCATTTGAGAACATTGAGGGTAGGGGTCTCAACCTGTGTTTTGTCAGGGTCCCACTCACTCCTAGGGACAGCCTTGCTGGGAACCAGAGACTGCACATTCACGGGGCCCTGGCCCTCCCTGCCAACCTCAGTCCACAGGCCCCCCGAAGCCACTTGGACCTTCCTGTCCCTCCTTCCATTTCTGTGTGTCTGTGCCTCTTCAGTATGCAGAACGTGGTGCCCATCGGCGAGGGGGACTCTGTGGACGTGCCCCAGGACTCAGAGAGCCAGCTGCAGGAGCAGGAGAAGCGGATTGAAATCTCCTGCGCCCTGGCGACCGAGGCCTCCCGCAGGGGCCGCATGCTGTCTGGTGAGAGGGGCTGGGCCTCGCTCCACCCTGCCAGGGAAACCAGCTGACCAGGTTTAGGGGAGGAAGCGCAGCACTGCTACCGGGGGGCAGTAGCAAAGAGATACAAGGCTGAGGAGATGCTCCTCGAGGTTGAGACGAGCATCTATTGAGCACCAGGTACTGTGCTAGGCTCAGGGAGGTGCAAAGGGGCCAGAGTTGCTGCATCCAGGAGCTCAGAGCCGGGATGATCCTTACAGCCACCTTAGGGAGTATTGGCCAGAGGCCATGCAGAGCATGGGGAGCCATTCTGCCCAGGCTGGCCAGAGAAAGGCACAGAGAAAAGATGATAACTGAGTTTGACTGAGAAAGATAAAAATATTTCTCAGTTGCAGGGAGAGGGCCAGGTATTCCAGAGTATCCTTTCATTTCCTGCTTTCGCTGCAAGCAAATAGGAAGAATCTTAGAAAAGATGGTGCAGGCAACCAAAGAGTTGAGAGTGATACAATTACCACTTTGGCTACTGATCCAAACTCACTTTTCTGCTAAGAAAAGATGACTATGAGGAACTGACTTCACACTGATACAAAGGCTACCAGGTCCTGACTAGATGCTGATAGGGTTGAGATCAACAGGGTCAGCTTCTGCTCAGTCTGAGATATCATCCCAGAATAGATGAAAATGTACTTGAGCTTTTAAGAATGAAAGAGATTCTGTATGAATGGGAGGGTTAAAGGGAGAGGAGAGACAGTGGGTAAGTCAAGGCGCCTGGGAGACTGTTCCCTTCATCAAGATAAAGGTGTTTAGGATAGAGAGGTAGAGTGAGAGTGAGAACTTTGAAGGCCAGTTAAGAGGAATGACTCAGAAGGGGGAGCCATGGTTGGAGATGACATTGGCAGAGGGGTGAGAGCAGGTGTGCAGGCTACAATTCCAGTAGCCCAGGCAAGAGCCATAAGCAGGTTAGAACCGTGGCTCGGAACATAGTGGAAGGGATGGCGTTTCATGTTGGTGATTAAGAAGGATTCAAATTCTGGTGCTCTGAGGTTCCATTTCCTCATCTGTGAAATTCAAATCAAAATTCCTGCCTCCAGTTCTGGTGGTATGAGGATTGGAAACAATGTGTGCCAAACACCTAGCACAGTGCCTGGCATTCAGTAAGTGCTCAATACATGCTCGCAAGCCGTAGTAGTGGTGACAGTAGCAGTAGCGCTGTGATGCTGGTAGTAGTAGTTGAAATAGCAATAGACGAAGTAGAAATAGAACCATTTGTCATTTTGCTAATTATTTTAAATATGGATGTTTTCAGAAACCAGAAGATTTTAGCTACGGCAAAGAGGATTTAAGTAAGCCTTAATGAAGAACCTTCTGCCAGTTAGGGTGTAATGGACTTTAGAATGGGTGTCCAGGGAGACCCTTGGAGGTATTTCAGGGAGAGGCTGTCTTTAGGCTGGAGTTGAGGGGAAGAGAAGGGATAGCTTCAGAGAGCCCCATCCTGCAGCCAAAAGGCAGCAAAACCAGTTTGGCCACAAGGAAGCAGGCCTCTGTTGAACCTCCCTGTAGTTTAGCTCCAAAATGAACTTGAACCTTCCAAAGATCAGATTCCACATGCTCTGGGCAAAAGGCAACTTCCTGTTTCAAGGGGTTAGAGAGACAGGCTGGTTTAAAAACTTTGCTCTGCCCCAGCCCCAGCCCCTGGCTCTCTGTACTACAGTTCCTTAGCCAAAGGTTCCATGAAAACAAAACCCACCCGGCCTATCCGATTTCCGTCTTGATACACACAGGCTTACATGTCAGGGTCTGTGTGCTGAAACCAAACGGTCACCTTGCTTTTGCCAAAACCCCAACTATTTAAAAAATGGCTGTGGCAGGGCCAGACCTCAGACTTAGCCCACTGTTCCCACCAGCCCTGGCCTGTGGCCCAGCTCCTCAGAGCTACAGCTCTGCCAGGCACAGCAAGGCTGGTCCTGGGCATGCACTATGTGGGCACAGGTTCACACCCAGGACACTGTGTGTGTGGCAGTGCGGGGCACAGGTCATGAGCATAGTGTGCATCGGGTACAGCGAGTAGAGTTCAGTGCCCCTGTGTGATGTGTGGCATGGACAGAGTAATCAGTGAGGAATGCTGTTATGCTTACAAATCCACCCGGTGCGTGCAGACTCAGGTATGTAATATGTGGGAAATTATGACATTTTTGAGTTTGTATGTGTGGCGTGGACGTCATGTGCAGTGTCTGGATCTGGTCATGTTTGTAGATAAATGCATTTATTTGTGTGTATTCAAGTGTGCAGTGTGAGAATGGAGGAAAGGTTTGAGTACAAATGTAGCAATGTGTGTATCTGTGTAAAATGTCTAAGGATGTTGTGTGGAGACCCATTATGAGTCCAGGTGGTATATGGTAAGCTGTTGGAGCATAAATGTACATGTATGTGAGTGTACAATACATTGGTGGAGGTGGTGTTTATGAATGCTTGTATTTGTGATTGACTTTTCTACAGTATGGGAAATGATAAAGCGTATTTGTGTATATGTTGTGTACAGTGTATATATTGCAGTATTGTGAACTTATGTCTGTGTGCACAGGCTGGGAGAAAGTACAGTGTCATGAATGTGACTATGTGTGACTGATCATTTCTGCACGCATGTGGTACTTTGCACACTTTATAATATCACGTATGTGTGATTCACATCTGCAGCACATGCAAATTTTAACTATTTTGATGGATATATTTCTAATATATATTTAGTATTTTTCTGCCTTCTTAACAAAGTTCTGTTTACATATGACCTTTTCTTGCTCATGTATTACATTATAAATATCTTTATTTTGCCGACCTCTGTTAAAGGAATGCCCTGAGGGCCACAATGGACATAGATCTGTTTGTAGCTATGCTAAATGTTCCCAAACTGTCACTCTTCTAAAGCTGTTATGTCTGCTTTTTACAAAACATTTTCTCTCCTCAGTCGTGCTTTCTTATAGATGTCAGTGGGCCTCCCAATTCCTCTGTCTCTTCGAATTTTCCTGTTTCTAATCTCCCCTGGGCTAGAAACCCAGCGAGCCAACACTTATTAGAATTGTGTATCAATAAGAGTAACTGGACTCCAAGGGCTCCCTATGAGTAAATTCTGAGAGCCTCACTGCATGTCCTGTAGGCTGTAACCTCTATGTTGGCTTCCTGGAGATATCTTTTGCTGTGTTTTTGGTTTCTTGGCTGTTTTAGAAGTTGAGACTGCTAGATGACTAAGCGTTGGGTCAGTGATGTGGCTATGCACACGAATGAGTGTTTGAAAGTGTTTGTGAGTGTATTTGCACATGAAGTTACAAGTGTTGGGTCACATGGAAGGGTGCAGGCTTGGAAGTATACAAATACACTTATTGTGAGCTGTGTGCAATGAGTGTAATGATATGGTGTTGCCAGATCCCATGCACAAACTTTGTATTGTGTATAGGCAGACAACTTCACATCCATGCGAGAGCTACATGTGTTCTATGCACATGAAGGTGTATTAGATATGTAACAAGAGTAGCCACCTTGGCTCTTTCTCTTGCACAGACGGCAGGGAAGGTGATGAGGTCTAGGGTAGGGTGGGGACGAGGGACTGGGAAGTTCAATATTGGGACCCTTCTCTTGGTGGAAATGCAGTGTGACCCTGGCTGAGGTCTGGTTCCTTTCTGAGCCTGAGCGAGGATGTTGTCTCTGCCATCCTCCTGCCTCGCAGCTACAGTGAGGATGCGTGAGGGTCTGGAGACTGCATAGAGCTTGTCCCCAGTAGTAAGTCTTCCCTTCTCATTGTCCTACCACTTTACTATTCTTAACATGGAATAATAATGATAATAGAGTAAAATCTCAATAATTCAAATGTCATTTCAGGCTTGTCTCGATTTGCTTAGGGGTGGACTGAAGTTTGACTTTACTGGACTGATGAAAAGGATGTCTCAAGAGTTAGCAGGGAACATGTTTCTGAGCCCTTGACTGTGCCAAGTTAACAGAACTCGCTTTAAGTTGATCAGAAATCTCTGTTTTGATGGCACTGATTAACATGGTGGTCACTTCACTTCTGTTCATTAAATGGGGCCAGATGGTTTGGATTGGTGTGATTTTACTGCACTATTAATCATTATTGTTAGTGACACTGCGGTATATAAAGTACCACTCCCTGTTTCCGTCTGCACAGTCTCGGAGAGATGTGGGAATCTCCCCATTGTGTGGATGGGAGGGGAGCCCTTGGCCCAGAGAGGGCCTGGCCTTACCACAGTCACACTGGTTCTCAGCAGAGCCTAGATTCGACCAGGTCTCCTCTGGGGCCTCACACTCTCCTCCACGATGCCCTGGGAACGAGGACAGCTTGGCCTAGCTTGAGCAAGCTCCAAGCTCAGTGCTCTCTCTCTGCTTGCCTCCCTGCCTCGCTCCCCGCCTGGGGAGGGCCTCGCTTGCTCTGGGTGCCCACCCTCCTTCCCCACCCACCCCCATTCACCTCCCTGTTCATTTCTGTTTCCAGTGCAATGTGCCACCCCAAGCCCTCCCACCTCCCCTGCTTCCCCGACTCCTCCAGCCAACCCCCTGTCGTCTGAATCCCCACGGGGCGCCGACAGCAGCCATACCATGCGGGTCTGAGCTCTGACGTAAGCACTTTTCTACTGTATTTCATCCACCTGGGGAGTGGGGCCCCTTCCTTCACCCCCATTGAGCCATCTGTGTCCTCTCATTTTGGCATTTTGCTTCTCCCCTACCCCAGTGCCCTGTACCGCTCCTCCCCACTATCCATCCATCCATCCATCCATCCATCCATCCATCCATCCGTCCATCCATCCAGCTTCCCCACGCAGTGCTGGGCTGGAACCGGCTGGCAGGGCCGCTTCTTGGATGTTGTGATGCCAATGGCCTTTGCTTCTCCAGAAGCAGGCAGGGAATGGACCTTACCTGTCTGCTCTCAGGGAAGGCTCTCCCCTGACACCCCAGCCCTGTGCCTCCTGTCTGCTGACAAGCTTTCCATCTGTTGAGATACACAGATGCAGAACCTTCAGAAGCCCTCAAAAGCTGTTTCTCAACTCCCAGATCTTACTGTAATTTAAAATAACATTGACAATTACAGCCAAAGGCTGTGAACCCTTCCCTTGCCCCTAGCCCACAGCCGCTCACTCTCAGTCAAGTAGAAAAGAACACTGACTTCCTTTCCTTTGTTCCCCTGTCAGGGTTGAGGGACCGGAGTGGGTTTCTGCCAGGTTTTTGCAGGATAAGGCTTCTTTCTCCCGGGAAGGTTGGCTGGAGTCCTTGCTCCTCTGTGCAACCCTCTTCTCACCCCATTTCTCTTTTCTCCAGTGCAAGCCCTGGCTGAGGCCAATGCTGTGAAGCTCCACAGAGTCACATTCTGAAGCCGTCCTCTGCCCACCTGAGGTCCTGGCTCCCCACCCTGGCCCCCTGCCCCTGCACTCCCATGGGAATGCCGCAGGGAGCCAGGCTGGGGCCACAGGCTGCTGCCGAGAGGAGCGTGGATACCTCAGTGTCCACACACCCACTATGCCTAACCCTGGAGCTCTCACTACTCACACCGTGGTCCTGGGCCAGGGCCTGAGATGGCAGTGGGGAGCACCATCCTCGTTAATGCCCAAGTCACAGAGAGCCTCGGCCTTGCCCTGGCTGGGGTTGTGGTGACTCCAGTGGAACAATCCCTGATGGGGGACATGCCGTGGTGGAGAACATACCTGTGGCTATCTTATGTGAGGACTAGAGGTGAAGAGGAGATGGACACTGCCTCTTGGAGCCAGCCTGACACTGAGGACAGCACTTGTCGTCATCCCTATCCTCATCAACCCCACCCGGCTGCCTCAGCTGGACCCAGGGCTTTGATAAACCCAGTGCTTTGCTTATGGGTGCTCGCTGGGGTCCAATGGAGACTGACCACCCTGCTTGAGCCAAAGACAAGGTGATGAGAGATGGGGAGAGGCTATTGGCTCCCAGAGGGAACAGTGCTGGTTGTGGCTAGAGAACAGCAGGTCTGTGCAGTGTCTGAGGGCAGGTTGGGAAGGGTAGCAGAGAGAGACAGAAAGAGAAAGACAGAGAAAGAGAGAGAGAGAGATCCTCAGAGTGGGAGGAGGGGAAGCAGCAGGACACATTGGCAAGTCAAGCAGGAAGGAAGGAGATGGAAAAGGGGTATTGGATTGGTTTCCCCAGGTGGAGCCTTAAGTTAGTGCCCAGTGCAGTGCCAGACTCTCTCCTCTGCTCCTCCCACCTCATCCCCAGGACGACCCACCAGTGGAGCACAGGCAGCCTCAGTGGAGATGCTTGGTGTGGGGATCTAGGTGAAGGAGGTTGAGTAGCGACTGCCTGGGAGATGGCTGTTGGTAGTTCTGTGCCTGGTGTCTGCCTCCCCGTCCTGGGGTAAGGGGCAGAGAGAAGGACTTGTCTTATGTAGGGTGTGGTCAGCCTTGGGGCCTTACCTACCCAGTTCTGCGATATTTCTTGCCCTGTTCCCCCTGGAATGTGCAGTGATCCAGCTGAGAATATGCTTTGAGGAGGAGGGATGAGGCCTTAATCTGGGAGGCCTCCCAGGATTCCAGGACCATCCCCCATCCCAGGCATCCCAGACGAGAACTGGCTGAGGCTAGGCGCTCTCACGATCCACCTGCCCAGGGAGGGCAGTGGGGGAGAGACAGAAGAGCAAAGCGCATTCTTCCTCAGCTCCACCCACCTGGAGATGAATGTAGCCAGAGAGGAGGAAGGAGGGAAGCTGAAGACGCCGTGGCCCCTAGGCCTTCACTCTGCTAGAGTTGCCACCCAGAGGCTTCAGCCTGACCTCCAGCGGTCCCAAGAACACCTACTAATTCCTCTCCACTCCTTCATGGCTGGGACAGTTACTGGTTCATATGCAAGTAAAGATGATAATTTACTCAACAAATATTTATCGAGCACCTTTTATGTACCAGGCACTGTTCTAGGTGCTTAGGATATTCTCATGTTTCTGAGGGATTACAGCCTAGGAGGATTCCACCAATCTTCACTTCTAGCAGGTTTTTTAAACGTGACCCTTGGCTACATTTCCCATCTTCACAGTTCAAGCACCCCAAACCTGCCCTTTCTCCCCTGCAGACTGGCAGGTGGATTGGCTCCCAGGTCATCTTCTCTCCCTCTTTCCCTTTCTCCCTCCACAGGAAACAGATTTTTCAGGGCCTTCCATACCTGCCGCTTTGTCTGTCTCTTTTTTTTTTTAAAGTAATATTTTTTAGAAATACATGTAAAATACCAAGAAATAATATCTGCACCTCTGCCACCTCTCTCTCACCTCTTATTTCATAAAGCTGGCTCTTTATGTTGCTTTACATGCCTTAATATATGTTTTATGGAGATTATACATATTATAGATCTATATATGTAATATATTTGTTTGGATGTCTGATCTTTTCCTACAGTTCCTGCCCAGGCCCGTTTTTCTCTCCCTTATTTTCCATATCATTCCTAGCATATCAAGGCCATACCCCTTGCCTTTTTGATCCAAAGAAGAGGAGAGGAAAGACTTATTTTAAGACAGATCTATTTTATGCTTTTGTTTAAAAAAAGCAAATCTATTTTCAAATGTGCAATGTCTGAATGGAATTGGCAAGTGAGGTGAGGAGATGGGGCAACTGCCTTTAGGTCCCAACCCTGTGCCCTTCCCTCTGCCACAGTGGCTTCATTCCATCCTATTCCCCAGTCAGGAAAGGGCTGGTCCCCAGAGCTCACCCAGAGAGCATCTTGCCGGGGGCAGGGCATTCCCTCGGAAGTCCTGGCTTAAGGATTTTATTACACTGTCCACTCCTGATGACCCTCTGCAGTTGTCAGGCGTGAATCCTCTGGAAGGAACTGTTTGCAGTTGTATGCACAAAGGAGACCCATGCAGGCATGCACCCCAAATGGGCTGCTAGACTACCCCTCTTCATCAGCCTGCTGGAAATAGCAGACAGTGTAATGGCAGCCTATGCCAAACAGCACTAAGGATGTCAGTCTACGAGATGGTGTGAAGCCCAGAGGAGGCGGCTTGGGATCCTCTGGGCCATCCCTGGCCCTTTAGCACAGACACATACAAGTTCCTTGGGCTTGTCACACTCCTTTTCACTCGATCCCTCTTTGGTCTGGGTCACATCTATGACATCCACCCTCTGCAACCTTTCTCTCTGGGGGCTGTACCAAAGGCATGGTACCTCAGTCTGGCATCCAGACTGCGAAATCAGCCTCTGAGCCGAGGAGGGTCCTACGGACAAGGTGACATCTCAACCTCACCCAAGAAACCCCCAAGACTTTACCCCAGCAGGCTGCCACGGGGGCACCAAACGAAGCCAGCTCAGCCTTCCAAACTGCTCAAGCCTTTGTCAATTATCAAATTGGCCAAAGGGTCTCTGGCCTTGCAAGGATTTGGGCAGGATAGAAGTCTTTGTCTAGATCTGAAATCAAGGGCTTGGGAATCTAGAGCCGAGCTCCTGGCCAGCGTTTGAAGCCTGGCCTCCCAGCTGGGGCGTTTACTGACACCCTGCCACCAGCCTAGAACATCCCGCTCTGAATGAACAGAGCGCAGGTGGGGGTCCAGGGCTAAGTGACCCACCTGGGGACGCTCTGATTATTCATCCAGGGCCTTCTCAATGAGCACATTACCTCCATGATCAATAACCAAGAGGCTGCAATCAAATACTGCTACTGTCACTTTGAAGATTTTCTGAGATCGCAAGTGGCACACTTGCTCTCCGACCTTTGGGAGAGGCATGTTTTTGGGCAGGGCTGGCTATGGCAAGAGGGAACCAGTTCCTTTCTCCTTTAGGCACCCTCTACCTGGCAGCTCTTAAAACTAAGAAAAAATATTATATACACACACACATATATATATACACACACATATATATATCTATTTATGCACATATTGGGGCCAATTTGATTTGCTAGTATTAGACAATAAACCATACAAGGAAATTTATGATCTCAATGTCTTTATTTAGTATAAAAGTGACCTTAGAAGAAGGGTGAAGGTTAGATAGATGGAATCTCTGTCGGGGGCAACCAGCTGTAGCATCCCCTTAGCATCTTTCTAGCCAGTGAGCCCCCTCCCCAGGAGGAGGGGACGGCCTGACTGAAACAGGTGAGAGTTTGCTTCCTCCTTTCAGCAGCATTCTTTTTAGATTTAGGTACCGAAGAATTCCAGTGAGTTCTGCATTTGTATCTTGCAAGTTTGTATAAACTCAATACAGGAAATAAAATGAATGTTTTGTACATGTGGTGTGTGTCTCCTACTCTGTGTCTGCCCTCGTGGTGCTTGTGGGCTTGTGGGGTTGGCAGCTTGTGGGGTTGGTAGGAAAGGGGAATGGGGGCTGGGGGATAGGCTGGGTGCAAAACATATGCTCCCTTCCTCCCCTGTGCCTCAGCCTGCCCTTTTGGGCTCTATCCCCAGGAGCTGGGGAAGCACGGGTATGCTGCCAACACCAGCATCATCATTTCAGTTCAGGTGACCCCAGATCAGGGTTTGTCCCAAGGTTCTGTATAATGGGAGTATCAGATGCTTCAGGCCCTGGCACCTTCCCTTGGTTTGACTCAGACAAAGGATAGGACAGCAGGAGAAGAAAATGAATTCCCAGGCTTTCTTGATTACTACACAATGCACTATACTGCTGCTTTACGAGAAGGTGCATAATTTGGTGGGAGGTATGACGCCACCCCAATTCTCATCCTGCCTCCATCCCTTTGGTTTATTTCTCTTGAAATAAACCAAAGTGTTTAGTGGTTATCAGGTATTGACACTCTGTGTGAAGCGCTTTACCGGCGCTTCTCAATTTGGAATCTTACTGTGGGAAACAAGAGTCGAGAAGCCTGGTAAATTTTGTGGGGTGGGTAGTGGAAGAGAAGAGGTGCACCCGGGAGACTGGCAGGCTCAGCTGGGCTTCTGCACATTGTTCGAGGGAGGGATGGCTCAAGAAAAAGCGAGAAAGAGAGATGAGAAAGCAAGCTTCCTAATTCCTAATCTTGCATCGACTTGGCTTTCATGGCTGAAGCTGAATTCCGGACACCTGTTCCCATTTCTAAGGGCTAGTACAGGGGTGGTCATTTTTTAAATTTGACTCTATTTTGGATGTTGTCACATCCCCAGGATGATGTCCTTTGTGAACCCAGGAGAGTTGTGACCACATGTAGGCTCTGGGGGAGGGCCTGCATCAGAGGCTGGGGTAGGGGGGTGTATATTGGAGAACTTGTCACTTTCCGGGGGGCTGAGCCTTTAGCTGCAGCCTCCATCTGAGCCAGAGCCAATGGCAAGGGCTTCGGGAGGAGGTGGAATGTGAGACCACAGAGCACCACAGGGCATCACTGCATCCACCGACAAGGGCTGGCTCCTCCTCTCACGAGATGATGCCAGCTGGTGCCTGCTCCACCCCCTACCCAGATCAAGCCAGGTTGGGATTTGTAAAAAGGGGGCAGTAGCTGATAAATGTAAATGAAAATGCAACTAGCAGAATGCCCTTTAAGGAGCAGTGCTGTGTAACTGTGTGATCATTTATTTATTCTTGAAGAGAGGCACGACAGGGTCAGGCAGGCAGCCAAGCCTCAGATCCTGCTGCTGCCAGGGAACTGGGGCCACACCACGGCCCCCTCCTCATCCTGAGCCTCACCTCGTTACTGAGATCAATGAGAGAAGGTGGCATGTCATCCTCAACTCCTGCCCCTAGCAACATGCTCCTTGCTAGCTGCATGAAGATTTGGACAAGTCATTAAATTCTTGAGTCTCGGTTTCCTCGTCTGGAAAATGAGTATGTTAACCACCATCTTATGGAACTTTCAAGAAAGGCAAATGAGAAAATGGATGAAAATCGCTTTGAAAACTCAAATTCACTTCCAAATGTGAGGAAGTGGAAGTGGTGATGTTGCAAAGGCTCCCTGGCCACCTGCAGGGGCCTGATGTGGGAAGAGGGAGAAGGTTTTCCAGGACCCTTTCTTTACTAGCTCTATAGCCTTTGCTGGAAGACATCACCAGGGCCTGTGCCGTCCCTGAGGTGTCCCTCCCCTGCCAGTTCTACGCCTCCAGCCCAGGGAGTAACTGCACTACCCCACCCCTTTCTCATCATGGCAGGGTCATGAGACTGCCATGGGTCGAGGACTAGCACCAGCCTTCCAGGGCTTGCATACCCCTTCCCGGGAACGTCCCTATGAAGGTCCCTCTCCAGAAGGGTGAACTGTGGACAGCCCCTCTGCGCTCAGCTCCAGTACCCAGAGAATCAGGCCAGGAGGGCCCAGTATCATGAGTGTTTAATTCTCCTGAGTTCACAGGTGGGTTCCATGACTGGGGGTGGGGGCAGGGAGGGGCATCCCCAGCTGCTACTTTATACGCCTGTGGGAGTGGTTTAGCACAATTTGAGATGACAGTAGAAGTCTTTCATATAAAGCATATTAACAGTATACTAATAATGTTAATAACAATAGCAATTATTATAACTATACAGTAATAGCAATAACAATGGTTCATTAAGTGCTTACTGTGTGCCAGGTACCTGGTTCTACGCACTTCACATGCATTTACTCACGAGTCCTCATCCTCTGTCAGTCATAGGTACTCTAATTATCCAAGAAGCCGAGGCACAGAAAGGATAAATAAAATGCCCAAGGCTTCATGAAGCTAGGATGAAGCTCTTAACCTACCAGTGATTTCAATGGGGATGATTCCGGCCCCTTGGGGCATTCGGTTGTCTCAATCCTAAGGGTGCAAAACTCTTCCTGGAATTTAGTGACTGCAATGCACAGGACAGATTTCCAAAACCAAGAATTGTCCCATATCCTGCACAACTTTCGAATGTACAGCTGAACTAAACCCACTACTAGTAAAAGTTGGTCATGCTCCAATTGACAGTAATACCAAAAGGTTTTGTAAGCTTTTAAAAATAAGTTTCATGAAAACTCAGAAAGTTAGGAGATGGTTATTATGGAGCAGAAGCTTAAAAGGAATAAAAGACATTGTCTCAAAATTATTGAATAATCTACTCCATGCCTTGTCTGCCCAAAGGATTATAAGATTTCTACTACTATGTATTTGATTGAAAACAGTTCTGGCCGGGCGTGGTGGCTCACGCCTTTAATCCCAGCACTTTGGGAGGCCGAGGCAGGCGATCACGAGGTCAGGAGGATCGAGGACCCATCCTGGCTAAACATGGTAACCACCCCGTCTCTAACTAAAAAACAAAAAATTAACGGGGAGTGTCGTGGGCGCCTGTAGTCCCAGCTACTCACGGAGCTGAGGCAGGAGAATGGTGTGAACCCGGGAGGCAGAGCTTGCAGTGAGCAGAGATCGAACTCCAGCCTGGTGGACAAAGCGAGACCTCGTGCAAAAAAAAAAAAAAAGAAAAGAAAAGAAAAGAAAACAGTTCCAATCAGTAGCTTAATACTGAATAAGCCAAAGAAATTGACTGAAAATATTTACAGAAGAGATGTGAGAGAAACCCAAAAATGAAATTCAGAGAACCAACTGAGATCAGGAGATCCGTCAACTGTGCTCTCCTTAATAAAAAAGTTTTTAGAGTTTATTTCATATTATTGCCATTCCTTTTATATGTTTAAAGTTTTTTGCGCCCAAGGATGAACACTTACGTTGTCACAATTACGTGTGGAAATGTTGTGGCCCTGTCTTTACAACACTGTCCCAGGTGTCACATGCAAATTAACCTAACCATTTTTATCTTCTTTTCTCTTCCCAATCTATCCTCTATGCCCCATTGCCCACTGGAAATATATGATCTCTAAGGCCTTTTAAGATCCCAGAGACTGAATTTTACCTCAACACTGATACGTTTCAAGACAGAGGTCGATGTGTTGTGGTACTCTATGGCGACCCCATTCCATGGGAGCTATTTTGACAATACACACATACATAAGACCCAGTTCCTTTGCATGCACGTCATACTCCTATATTATCTCCACCTTGTGCTCTCTAATTTGCCCTGCTGTGTCATCCCTATCTCAATTAAGATACTTTCCCTCTCTTATCATATGCAAGTACATCTGGTCTGTTATTACTCACCTAGCAGTTTTTATTTCTAGTGTTCACTTCCTGCTACTCTTTCATTTTCTTGCATGTGTGTGATTTTTGTTTTTGCATAGAATGGCTCGTCTTCTATTTCTCTTAAATTCAAATATATATTATGTGTAGGTGCAAGCAATCTGCCTATTTCATTTATGCCTTCTGGTAAGTCTTGCCTGAGTGTTTATATATTGAAAGACATCATGTTTTATTATAACTTATCCTTTTTTTTGTTTTTTAATTGTGTCAGCTTTCCTTGGTTTTGTTGTTGTTGTTTGGTTTGGTTTTTTGAGACAGGATCTCACTCTCATACCCATGCATGGCTTGATCACAGCTCGTTGCAGCCTCGACCTCCTGGGCTCAAGCAATCCTCCTACCTCAGCCTCCCCAGTAGCTGGGACTACAGGCAGGCACCACCACATCTGGCTAATTTTTTGATTTTTATTTTTGTAGAGACAAGGTCTCACTATGTTGCCTAGGCTGGTCTCAAACTCCTGGGCTCAAGCAATCTTTCTGCCTCAGCCTCCTAAAATGCTGGGATTACAGACATGATGCATTTGGTATGCCAGGCCTATTTGCATTTTTAAATGATGTATGTAGATTAGTCATATCATCTATGAAATTCATTTCTTCATTTCTGGATAGAGGAGACATTGCAAAGTGGATGTTGGCTCTCCTGGCATTGAGAACCATTGCTCTGCGATGGGGAAAAAAGGATGTTAGGAAATAACTGCCTCTCCTTTTGCAGGCCCAAAGGAGGAAAGGACAAATCCATGTCTACACAGCTGGTAGGTGGACCCGAACCAGGCCCCCTGAATTGTCTAGTCCTGCCCCAACCCCAAATTCAGGGCTTTGTCTTCCATAGCTCAACCTCACAGTAAGTCCAAAGCTGGACGACGCTTGGGGAAAGGAGGTCCAAGCCCTTCGTGTCTAACTTCCCCCATGGCACTTTTGCCATTAATTTAACCAGATGTGGCTCTGCCATTAGGTCAGCAACAGGCTTTGTACTCAGTCGCTCATTGCCTCCCAGCGCCTAGCATGTGTAATAGCAGAGAGTAAAAAGCTTGACTTTCAAGATTAATTTAGTACATTCCCAAAGGGATGCGTGGATGCCAACTCTTCACACACCACGAAACCAAGCAAGAAACCTGAGCACCTCCTAGATCCCAATGCTTCCATATACAATCTAAGTTTCGCGGGGCAGACGAGAGCTCGC